CCGAGATCGCGCCACTGCACTCCAGCCTGGGGGACAGAGCAAGACTCCGTCTCAAAAAAAAAAAAAAAAAAAATTAGCTGGGCATGGCAGTGTGTGCCTGTAGTCCCAGCTACTTGGGAAGCTGAGGAGGAGGAGGATTGCTTGAGCTTGGGAGGCGGAGGTTACAGTGAGCTGAGATTGCACCACTGCACTCCAGCCTGGGTGACAGAGTGAGATCCTGTCTCAAAAAAAAAGACATTTTCATTCCCACTCAAACTCCATATCGGCAATTATTCCCAATTCCCCCCACCCCCATTCCCTGGGAACCAATAACCTATGTGCTTTCTCTATGAGTTTGCCTATTCTGGACATTTCATATCAGTGAAATCACAGTATGTGGACTTCTGTATCTGGCTTATTCACTTAGTATGTTTTCAAGATTCATCCATGTTGTATCATGTCAAAGTACTTCAATAGATTTTTTATGGCTGAAGAATACTCCATTGTAGCAGTAATCTACATTTTGTTTATCCATTAATCAGCTGATGCTATCTTCTTTGCTGTGTATCTTTTGTCCATATTTTTAGTCGGATTATTTCTTATTGTTGAGGTTTGCTTTGTTTTTTTAGAGACAGGGTCTCACTATGTTGCCCAAGCTGGACTCAAACTCCTGGGCTCAAGCGATCCTCCTGCCTCACCCTCTTCAGTAGCTGGGACTAAAGGGGACACCACTGCATCTGGCTTATTGTTGAATTTTAAGGGTTCTTTAATATTTTGGATATAAGATGTTTTATTGCATATGTGTTGTATAAATATTTTATAACAATATGTGGCTTGTCTTTTCATCATCTTAACAGTGTCTTTTGCAGAGCAGAAGTTTTAAATTTTAATGAAGTCCAACTTACCAATTTTTTCTTTCATGGATTGTGCTTTTACTGTTGTATCTAAAACGTCATTGCCAAAGCCAAGGTCACCTAGATTTTCTCCTATATCATCTTCTAGAAGTTTTGTAGTTTTGCATTTTATGTTTATATCTATGATTCATTTTGAGTCAATTTTTGTGAAAATGTAAAATCTATGTCTAGTTCCAATTTCTTTTCTTTTTTTTTTTTTTTTGGCTTATGGATATCTAGTTGTTCCAACACCACTTGTTGAAAAGACCATCCTTTCTCCATTGAATTGCCTTTGGTCCTTCGTCAAAGATCAGTTGAGATCTGTTTCCAAGCTCTCTATTCTGTTCCATTGATCCGTGTGTTAATTCTTTTGCCAATACCACACTGTCTTGATTACTGTAGCTTTATAGTAATTTTTGAAGTTGGGTAGTGTAGTGTCAGTTCTCCAATTTTCCTCCTCTTCAGTGTTACTATTCCAGGTCTTTTCATTTTCCTTGTAAACTTTAGAATTAGTTTGTTGATAACCACAAAATAATTTGCTGTGATGTTGATTAAGATTGCATTGAGACTGGGTGCAGTGGCTCATGCCTGTAATCCCAGCACTTTGGGAGGCCAAGGCAGGAAGATCATGAGGTCAGGAGTTTGAGACCAGCCTGGCCAACATAGTGAAAAAGATAGTTTTATTTCTTCCTTCCCAACCTTTTAGTTCCTTGTCTTGTCTTATTGGACTAGCTAGGGCTTCAATATGATGTTGAATAGGAGTGGCGAGAGGGGGACATCTTTACCTTATTCTAATCTTAGGGAGAAAACTTCTAGTTTCTCACCATTAAGTATACCCTAGCTGTAGGGTTTCTTTGGTAGTTGTTCTTTAACAAGTTAAGGACAGTTCCCCTCTACTAGCTTGAGTAAGTGAAGGCTGGATTTCTGAAGCTTCAATATGAAATGATGTGAAATGCTGTGTGACATCCAGAGGGGGATGTTGGAGTTAAGCAGAGTACCTGGGAGAGGGGACTGGGATGGAGAAAGAGCAGGGAATCACTGGCATATCCATGATGCCCGAAGTCATGGCTATGGATGTGATTGCCAGGGAAGTATGTGCTGCTGTTGGTCAGGCAACTGGTCACCTTGAACAAAAATAATCACAACTCTGTGCATGATAAATACCTGTGACTCTAAATGTGTGTTCCTGAGGATAGCCTGGCTACCTCACTAGGACCACAGTGTAAATATTGTTGATGGCCTGCTGTACCTTAGGCACCGTGCTAGACAGTGCCTTGCATTATCAGGTTATCTCATTTAATCCTTGCAATTTTCAAGATGAGTACTGTTAATCCAATTACCAGATTGAGAAAACAGAAACCCAGAGGGTTTCGATATCTTACCCAGGTGAGAGCGCTCATAAGACAGGGCCGAAAGTGACTCTGAAGCCTATGCTTGCCCTGCTCTTCCACACTACCCACAGAGTTTGGGCAAGGAGAAAAAACAGGCTCAGATGGGAATGACTGCAGGGAGTCTGAGGAGAGGACCCACGTCCATTGGGTCATCTGGAGTGGCCTGAGGCTCAGCACCACTCCCACCAGGAGGGAAGGGCTTGCTTGACCCAAAGTGCCTAGCCTGGAGTGTCTAGTCCCACACTGCAAGGAGAGCTGCAAGTCTAAGGGGAACCTCCACCTCCAGAATTCAGGCAATGGTGGCTAAGATGAGAGGACAGTTATCCATCCACTGACCCTGGCACCTCACACTCTTAAACCCTGGTCTTCCACATACCCTGACCCAGCATACCTGTACTCTCCAACCCCCGAGGATGGGCCTGCGCTGAGTCTGTGTGCTGCTTTACAGAGTTTGAATAATTCAAGCCCCAGAGGCCTGAGGTATCAGTTTCCTTTGCTCTGTTGTCATGGGGACAGGTGTCTTAACACCTGTGTAATGCACAGGAATAATTAAGCTAATGAAAGGACAAAGAGGGAAGGGCTGCTGTCCTGTGCCTCAGATGACTCTGGGCTGATCAAGGGAGTCCCTGGTCCCTGTTCTGCTGAGAGAGCAGCAGGCCCATCTAGAGTCCAGGTGTGGGGAATAGAAGAAGGAAGGAAGGAATGAGGGATGAAACAGAAGTAGGAGAAAGGGAGAGAGAGTGGAAAGAGGCAGGCAGGGGGCGATCAGAGTCAGGGAGGCAGAGAGACCAAGAAAGTTACAGAGGGAAAGAGAAGGAAACAGAGACAGAGTGAAAGGCAAAGCGGGTGGGGAGCATAGGAAAGGGCAGAGGCAGAGGCAGAGGCCAGAAGAGGCAAGGACCAGCAGAGAAGAAGAAAGACCAAGTACTAAACTCCAGGGGCAGGCACAAATTGGAGGGTCAGAAGACTGGAGGGGCTGCAGGGCCCGCTGGAGGGTGGTTGGACCCGCCAGAGATCTCAGTCTTACTTCTGACTTCTAGGTACTGTCCATACCATCCTTGCCAGCTGGGCCTAATTTTGCCCTAGGTCTGGCCAGGAGGCGTCACACCCAGAGACCTGCCCCACCTCTTGCAGTGCCAGGACCATGGGGCTCCGGAGCCACCACCTTAGCCTGGGCCTTCTGCTTCTGTTTCTACTCCCTGCAGGTATGAAGCTCGTGGTGCTGCTATTCCTGTTCTCCCAAAATCCCTTTCCATGTAGTCTCTCTTGTGTTTCTCCTCAGTACCTGTTTTGAGAACAAGCTCTCTATTCGGGGAGTGTGGAGAAGAGGGGTGCTGAAGTGGGTGAGAGGAGACTTGCCTGGCTAAGGTGGGAACAATGAGTGGGGAGCTTCCAGAGACAGGGTTGGGAAAATCAGAGGGGCCAGATGCTGAAGGGCCTGCCGGCCAGGCCAGGTCTTTCTCCTGCAGACGATGGGGGCAGCACTGAAAGGTTTCAGCAGCATACTAGCCTGGTCAGATGTACATGCTTAAAAGCATGGTCTATGGGCATGGGAGGGATAGGAGGTGAGCCTCGGGGGAGGGGGTGACAGTGAAGGGAAGGGCCTGGCCTGGAGGGGAGAGGGCAGACTCAAGATCATGTTTAGCGAAATCTGGAGGATTTGAATGATCTGACAGGATCTGGAGATTAACTGGATTCCAAGAGGAGGAGGCAGGAGAGGGAGAAGGGAGGGATAATTCCCAGATTTCCAGCTGAGGTCACTATTGCAGCTGGGGGCATGCTATTTGCTGAGATAGGAAACATGGGATAGGAAGTAGGTTTCAGAGCATGGAGGGAGGAAGCGAGTTCAGTTGAAAGTGCCTGTGGGAAACTCAGGAGTGGACTGTACTCTATTTGGGTCTGAAGCTCAGGAGAAAAATCTGGGATGAAGAAAAAGAAGGGAGCCAAGGACAGTATTCATGGGAACAATATTTAGGTCAGGGATTGAGGAAAATGTGTGTCAGGAAAGCCTGGGGAAGAGTGCGTTTTCAGAAGGAAGGAATGTTCCATCGCATCAGAAGTTTTGAAGAAACCAGCTTGAGATGGAGAAGTGGAAACAGGTTTGAGAGAGACAGGAGGGGGCAGAGCAGTGGGGTTCAGAATCCCTAGGTGAAAGTCTGGACTCTTGTGGCTTGTTTGGATCCCTCTAGCATTTGTGGAGAGGCAGGCAGACTCCAGGTCCTTGAAAAGGGAGGGGTGGAGGAGAAATTTGTCAGCCTAGTGCCAAAAGATAGTAACAATTCACTCCATGGCCTTTATCTTGTGTGTCCCTGCAGGCAAGCCAGGGAGGAACTAGAGCCACAGCTAGAGCAAGAAAGGGCAGACACAGGAGGACACTCATAAGAACAGGGCCTCAGCCCTGGGAGTGGAGGGTGTGAGCAAAGGCCCTGAGACTAGGGCCTGGGATGGACAACCCTCCTTACTGACCCTCCAGAGTGCCTGGGAGCTGAGGGCCGGCTGGCTCTCAAGCTGTTCCGTGACCTCTTCGCCAACTACACAAGTGCCCTGAGACCTGTGGCAGACACAGACCAGACTCTGAATGTGACCCTGGAGGTGACACTGTCCCAGATCATCGACATGGTGCGTTGTGGTAGTGGTACAGCTGTGGAGTCTTACCTGTCACAGTGTCAAGAAATGAAGGGGTGAGAGACTGGGATTTCTCTCCACAGAAATTCCTTTTCTGTAAATGTTAATGTTAACAAAGATAGCAGTTACCAACTGTTGGATACTGACTGTTGGGTGCCTACCTTGTGCCCAACATTTTGCACTCCTGAACTTATTGAATCCCTGCTAAGCGGGGATTCTCACCTCATATAACTGCTGAGGAAATGGGCCCAGAAAAGAGAAGAGCCCACTAAGGTCACATGGCAAGGTCAGGTCTGGGTGGGAACTGGACAGTATGGACAAGTCAGGTTTGTGGGTGCTGACCAGAGCCCTGCAGGGGAGTGTGCACAGACGGGGCAGGATATGCATATACATGTCCACATCTCTGCCATCCCCTGCCCCCACTAGGATGAACGGAACCAGGTGCTGACCCTGTATCTGTGGATACGGCAGGAGTGGACAGATGCCTACCTACAATGGGATCCCAATGCCTATGGCGGCCTGGATGCCATCCGCATCCCCAGCAGTCTTGTGTGGCGGCCAGACATCGTACTCTATAACAAGTACTGCCTATCTGGGCTCTTCCCCTCTCCTACCCCTCTCTAGACTTGCCCTTAGCCATGGGTGTGCACTGATCCCCTCTCCCTACCACACACCCTGGTTGCCATGCTGCCCTGGAAACTTTTCCCCAGGACCCTTCTAAGCTGCCAGGCATTCACAGCCCCTCCATGGCACCCCCACTTTAGGCTATCCCAGGCCAGCCCAGGCTGAACGTCTCCTGGGAACCTACTGTGTGGTCCAGGGCAGATGCCTGGATCACAAGGGCCTCTCTAGGGCACATTTTTAGCCCTAAGTCTCTCAGGGCTCCCCCAAGAGCCTGTCTAAGGTTCTCTTTCCTCCAGGACATCTGGAACACTGCTTTATTTTCTCTGGGGCCCCTCTGCATATTTTCTCTGGGGCCCCTCTATAAGTTTTGCAGATGTCCCCCAAGGGAAGTCATTGTGTGTCCCGGAGTTGCCTCTGGGTTCTGCAGAGGCCTGTTTATACGTCCTCTGGCTACCTCTGTGTCCCTTCTGGGCCCTTCAGGCGCCACCCCTTCCAAGCAGCAGGTCTCTCTAGGTGCACTCCACCCTCTGTGTTGCTTTGTTCTGAAAACGAGAGTCAAATTAACGAAAGAAAAACAAGCAGAAGTTTATTTATTTATTTATTTATTTATTTATTTATTTATTTATTTGAGACGCAGTCTCCCAGGCTGGAGTGCAGTGGCGCCACCTCCGCTCACTATAAGCTCCGCCTCCCGGGTTCACGCCATTCTCCTGCCTCAGCCCCCCAAGTAACTGGGACTACAGGCGCCCACCACCATGCCTGGCTAATTTTTTTGTATTTTCGGTAGAGACGGGGTTTCACCGTGTTAGCCAGGTTGGTCTCGATCTCCTGACCTCGTGATCCACCCGCCTCGGCCTCCCAAAGTGCTGGGATTACAGGCTTGAGCCACCGTGCCCGGCCTAACAGTCTTAATCTTCTACATCCCAAAATCCCGTTGAAATAGTAAAAAAAAGTTTTAATTTCAAAAAAAGTTCTCAAAAACATAAAACAGGAACCAGTTACCTCAACATTCGATAGATCTGTGGAGTCTACAACATTCAAATAACTTATTTTCTCAACAGAACCCTGAAATAATTCCAAAATCAAAGTTAACAGAGGTCTGGAGAATTAAATTTTGGAATAGTTGAGCAAAGGCCTGCAGAGTATCTGCTCTTTTTAGATGTTTCATCTTTAGCTCAGTTTTGTTAATTTGTAATTCCAGAAAATTGTTCCAGGTTTTTTTGTTATTCACATAACCAGTCCTTAGACTTATTAATCAATTTTACTGGAGTTCTGTATGGTAATCTATTGATTTCTACTTTAAATGTTCATTTCTTAGACTTCCTAAGGATTTGTTTAAACCTTGTATTGGTTGGGCACGATGGCTCACGCCTGTAATCCCAGCACCTTTGGAGGGTGAGGAGGGAGAATCCCTTGAGCCCAGGAGTTTAAGACCAGCCTGGGCAACATAGGGAGACCTTGTCTCTTAAAAAATGAACAAAAATTACCTGGGTGGTGTGCACCTTTAGTTCCAGCTACTCAGGAGGCTGAGGTGGGAGGATGGCTTGAGCTCTGGAGGCAGAGGTTGCAGTGAACTGTGATTGCGTCACTGCACTCCATCCTGGGCAACAGAGCCAGACCTTGTCTTTTTTTAACCTCTCTATGCCTAGTGTTTCATTTCATTATTAAGCTAGTGGGAGTAACCTATATCCTACTACTCAAGATCATTGCCAAGGTCTGATTTTTCACACACAAAAAATTTGCAACCTCTGGCACAAATGGGTTTAAACAATGGTTTATTATAGTTGAGTTTTGTGAGGATTCTTTATAGATTCTGTATTTGAGTCCTTTGTTGAATATGATTTTGAAATATTTTCTCCCAATTTCTAGCTTGTCTTTTCATTCTGTTACAGTGCCTTTGCAATCTGGGTCTCGCTCTGTCACCTAAGATGGGCTGTAATAGCACGATGATCATAGCTCACTGAAGCCTCAAACTCCTGGGCTCAAGGGATCCTCCTGCCTCAGCCTACCAAATAGCTACAGATGTACACCACCATGCCTGGCTCACTTTTTATGTTTTTGTAGAGACAGGGTGTCCCTATGTTCTGTGTTGCCCTGCCCAGGCTGGTCTCCAACTCCTAGGCTCAAGCAATTCTCCCTCCTTGGCCTCCCAAAGTACTGGAATTACAGATCTGAGCCACTGCGCCTGGCCTGTTTCCTAATCTCTTTATTTTTGTCTCCTTGGGTTGTATTCTAGGTAATTTTTTCAGATCTATCTTGGAATTCATTGGTTATCTCTCTTCAGCTATGTCTAATCTGCTGTTTTAATTTTTATATTATTAATTTTAGTAAGGTAGTATTAAATCACATTACACATACGCTTTGTTTTTTTTTGTTTTTTGTTTTTTTTGAGACAAGGTCTCACTCTGTCACCCAGGCTGCAGTGCAGTCTCACGATCACTATTTTGTTTTTAAAAGAGGCAGTGTAGTTTAGAAAGGAATGGTCTCCTTAACCCAGCTATATGTTCAAATGCCAGGTCCACTGTTCTATGCTATGGGATCTTAGGTAAATTATTCCTGTATCTCAGTTACCTCATTTGTAAAATAGAAACAATAATATCTTCCTTGGCCAGGTGCGGTGGCTCAACGCCTGTAATCCTAGCACTTTGGGAGGCCGAGGCGGCCTTATCATGAGGTCAGGAGATCAAGATGATCCTGGCTAACACGGTGAAACCCCATCTCTACTAAAAATACAAAAACAAAATTAGCCAGGCATGGTGGCAGTCACCTGTAGTCCCAGCTCCTCGGGAGGCTGAGTCAGGAGAATGGCATGAACCCGGGAAGTGGAGCTTGCAGTGAGCCGAGATCATG